AAAGGCTGCACTTACCAACATGACGAAACACCAAATGTGACTCCAGAAGCAAACGAAGAAGCGACAATCCAACGACGCGCCGAAATAACGGAACGATACTATAAAAAAAACCTGTTAGTAAAAAGAAAAAAAAAAAAAAAAAGCCAATTAAAAAAAAAGCTATACTTATCTGTTTATATAATGTCGATCTGTGTAACAGAGGTAGCGATATATTGCATATGCGAAAAAAGATAAAATTCTATTTTTTATTATTTAGATTAAATAAAAGCTTAGATTAATAAAAAAATTAATTATAAAAAACTAAATTTATTACTAAAGTTTATAGTATAATTAAATAGTACTGTATAATAAATTTTTATTAAATAAAATATAAAAAATTATTACAAATTTTTAATATTTTTTACTTTTGCTACTTTACTAATTTATTATTATTTATCTTTTAAACTATCTAGAAAATAATTTTGCTTATTTAAATAATTTTTAAAAAGTTTTTTAAGTTTTTTTAAAATTTATTTAAACTTAATCTTCTTTATTTATTTTATTTTATTTTTTTTATATTCGACAGTCCTGCCTATTACTCTTTTATTAAGAAGTACCAGAACTTATATCAACAGAAAGATACAATTTTCTATATTATATTCCATATAAGTAAAGATCAACTTGAGTTAAACTCAGAAAATGACCTATCTAGCAGTAATTAGCTTCATGTTGAATCTTTAATTTACTAAAGATATGAACCCTTTGATTCTTAGTACTAGTAGCTGCACGTTTCATCAAAAGAGTTAAATTAATAAAAGCACAAATACAAAAGAAAAAATAAAACGGTGTAAAAAAAGAATATGATAAAAAAATATAAACAAAAAAAAAAAGAGTAAAGGGATGTTGAAAAAAAAAAAAAAAAAAATTTGGCTATTCTAATACAGTAATCACTATTATGAGCTTGTAAAAGGCTTATAAAAATTATATACTACTAAATAAAATAGCCCCTATTCTAAATTTATCTATATAGTATATGAAAGCTTAAAACTAGTGAAAAATACTTTTTCGACTATAAAATGTAGAAATTAGTACTTGATCCAAGTTGTAGAATATTATTTAATCAGATAGTTGTATTCGAGATACATGTCTTGATATGTTTGTTGTCCTATTATACCAATTTGAAGAGTAAACAATACCAACTATTTTGGTGTATGTGATATCGATTTTTTGGAAAAAGTAAGCTGAAACACCTACTTTTTATAAAAATTTTCTTGAAAAAAAGTGGTGGGCTAACAAAAGTATATGAGGTTTTTTTTGTAAGAGTTACAGTAGTATAGTCTAGTTTCTTTGTTTCTATTTGATATTCTTGTATAGAGACCCAACAGTAACATTGCACCCAAAATATTTTTTTGATTTGGATATTGAAGGTATGGAGAAGTCTACTTCTTTTTCTTTGCTATTCCCAAAGACTTCTCTGGTTTGGATACCAAACGCACAAAGGAGTTCGCTATACAAAAAGAAAAAGCTTGACCTTTATGCAAATCATTCACAATGCTCGCACTTTGGTATATCATATTTAAGAACTTCGTTGACAACAGTTTGTAAAAAAGAAGCTTGACCCAAGATACCAGACCCACTTTTTGTTATATGCTGTTTTTTGGTATTTCACGTATATAAGCTTCATCAATAGCAAGTATATAAGTATGTAGCAAGAGTATCGTGGTATTTATTTTGTCATTTTTCTATAACTTTTTACTATAGTTTGATTTTTTTGTTGTTGACCAAAGGATCATCAGAGAGAGTTGATTAAATTTTCTTTATTTATTAATTGGTGATTCGCCAGTTAGCCGGTGAAAGGTCATAGTATAACGTGATACAGTTTACTTATAGAAATTAGAGTTTTGCGAATGTAGGCTGCATCATTCTAAAACTTTTTTTTGTACTAAGTTAACCACTTTTGGGCTTCTAATTAAAGTTATAGAGCTTGTTAAGAAATCTAATGATGGTTGAATTGTCAAAATCAGTTTTGTAGATCACAAGATATCTTCAAAAAATGTTTTACCGACTATGTAAAATTCTCTCTTTTGACAATAGTATTGTCAAAAGAATTTTACATAGTTAGTGAAATGTTTTCAAAGATATCTCATGATCTACAAGACCGATTTTAACAATTCAACCACTATTAGATTTCTCTTCATGAGCTCTACAACTTCAATTAAAAGCCCAAAGGTAGTTAACTTAGTATAAAAAAAAGTTTTAGAATGATGTAGCCCACATTCACAAAACCCTAATTTCTATAAGTAAACTACGTCATGTTATACTATGACTTCTCACTGGCTAACTGGTGAATCACTAATTAATTAAAATTAACAATATTTTTTTATAAATATTATATTTAGAATATTATTTTATAGTGATTTATCTCTATAGCAACTCTGTAATTGACTAATCATACTTAGTCATATTAATTATGTAACTTTATAAATTATATAACTAGTTTATAAAAAAAATTTTAATTTTTTTTATTTTATTTATTAAAAAAAACTTCATTATATAACAAATATTATTGCAAAATAAAGAACTACAAAAACTAAAATAATAACATAAAATCTGCTAACTACTCACTATATTTATTTAAAAAATCTTACCCACCTATCCACTATTTAAAGATAATACTGATATAACAACTCCATATTAGAAGATTTTAGTAAAAGGTTCATAAAAGATTTTAGTAAAAAATTTAAATAAAGAGTCTAATAAACAATCAAATAAAACTTTTAATGAATACTCTAACAAAACTTTTAACAAAACTTCTAACAAAACTTCTAATAAAACTTCTAATAAAACTTCTAATAAAACTTCTAATAAATCTTCTACAATAGCTTCTGTAATAGATCCAATAATAATTTTAACAACAACTTTAGCAATAGCTTCAACAACAATTCTAGCAACAACTCTAGCAATGATAGCTTCAAAACTATGATTCTAGTAACAACAAATTATATCTAAAAGAAGAATAAAAAAATATTAGTTTAA